TTTTGAAGATTGCAAATTTATATATGTGAGAAAGTATGCTCAGTTGTATCACCCCTAGTTTGTTATTAATTCTGTTCAGTGCACCTATGTGTGGAATTTCTTATCAAGCTGTAAAACAAGGTTTTGTGTCACTGGTGTTTCATAAATTGCTCAAGTCCGTCAACGTCCCTTAGCACATTATATACCAAAGAGTAATACAAATACCTGGAAATCAAACCCTCTTTATCCGTACTTCCTCTCTCAGACGCCAAGTTGACGACGACCTTCAAGGCTCATTTCTATCCCAATTATGTAACAATCATGTACAATTTCAAAGACTATCTTTGCTGATGACATCCTTCCACTCATACCCTATCGTCTCTTAGTCTAAATAAGAAGAAAGAAGTAAAAACACCTCTCAGCAGAGAATGAAGTCAGCACACACTGGATGCGTATAAGCCAAAATAACACATTCAAATATTTGAACTTTCTTTCTTTTTGTTGTTTCTTCCTGAGTTTCTGGTTATCTAAGGAAACCAACATCTCTCATATTGACAGAGGCTGCAAAATTTCATTTCGGTTTCTGCACGCATTGGAAATTAGTAATACTGATATGGAGTTACAGCAATAGCATTATTTTACCGCAATGATTTCAATACTAACACCTATGCATTTTCAATGTCCGTACAATCCATGTATCAACACTGTCGTTGACCAGTAAATAAAAACAATCTGGAAAAGTGTGGAAAGAAAGCTCGAGGTTTGTAAACTGATTATTGCGGACGTCCGATTTACCCGCGTCACGATTTGTTCGTCACCACGAAGAGAAACTGCGGTCAATTTGAGTCGTTTTCACCAAGAGAACGTCGTTCGGTCTTTGATTATCCCACACGCTTTCTATTTCTGGACTTCACCGCACGACGAAAATCGCAAATACTTGTGAATAGCTTGCCATACGATAGAAGTGGGCGGAATGGCAAATATTTCGTGCAGGATGAAGGATGACAATGGCAGCAAATTCGATGTTGACGTAGTAAACTCTTACTGAAATTGGCAATAATTGACGTTATTACCGAGACGTGCATGAATAAAAAAAATATTTCGCTGAAAGTAACGTCATCACTTTATTGGTTTCAGAAACTTTACTGGTTACTTTATTTCATGGGCACAGCAAACTCCGGACAGTAATGAAAGAATATTAAATGTTAATGAATAGATTTTGGGAGATTAATTTTTAGAGTGTGGTTTTGAATCTGCAACACTGTTTTACTTTACTCATATAATTTTAACTAGCTTGTACCGATGTCTGTTCCTTGATGGTCTTCGGAATATACTCTAGCCACTTACATTCTTGCAATTTATTTGGCTGAAATATTGCTTATATGGTGAACATGTACAACGTAACAAACTCCTACTGCAAGGGACAGGACCCGAACATACTCTAACTCACATCCGGTCTGACAATCGACGTAATGTGTAAAATATTGAAATTTTCATTACCACCTTAGACAGAAATACAAGAGGTCAAAACTGTTCAGTGACACATAGTAAATGAACCACATTCTTCTATTTATTGCTCTGTTGATTGATTTAATAATAAAGATATAAGAAACGGAACAAATATATAAGAAATGGAAATCAAAGTTGTAGTAATTAATAGCAAGTAGTGATTTCGGAGGGTCTTGAGGGTTAAACAAAGTTTTATTCAGGAGTGAATTTTAACTTCTAAGACGACGGTGAGGATTATATTAAACAAATTAAATATATTGAAAAATGTTCTCATATTAAAAAGTAACTAATTCTTTCCAATTTTTGATATTTTTGCTTAAATAGAGCACATTGTTCAATGTTTAAACAATATTTGCATTGAAATAAAATTCCCTGAAGGAATTCATCATAAGCAAATCGAGACTACTAAAAGGCAGAGCTCAAAAATATTTTTTTCGACGAAGGCAAAGAACGGCTTTTTTGAGCTTTTACCCTAGCAGCATTCGTGATACATGAAGTATACGTTCCCAATTGTTAAATATTGAAGTTGACAGTTGACAAATATTTGTTACAGTTAACATCTAAAATCGTCTAATTTAATATGAACCTTTGAACTACATCACATGGTAACCTCAGAGACGGAGGTATCAAAGAAACACGAACGTATTTTAACTAAATCCATAAAAAATCAAACTTTCCTAATTAAAAAAACATTTCATTATTTCAAAATGACTTTAAACTAATGACAATGTGCTGCACACCAAAACTTTCCTCCTCTTAATATTACTACCTAACTCACATTTAAAAACAAGTAAATGACATTATTTGAAGATTTACAATTGAGGTATAAATTGCAAACTTACATTGAGACATTCAAATATATATCGCTGGCTTTAATATTGTGCTGTTTTCAAAATTTCAGAGGTTTTAATGAAAATCAAAAATATACGATATTTATAACTGAACTTTTCTCTATTTTAGCAAACACTTAAAGAAAAATTTTCCAACCAATTTTCAGAATATTTTTAAAATGTCACAGTTCAGGGACGTAAACTACTTCAAAAAAATAAAATATATTAATAAAATTAAATCTCTTTTCTTTTTCCCGGGACATCACAACTACTTAAATATTACTCTTGATATACTTATCAATATTCAGCTCAAAACTTTATAATCTGAAAGAGTTTTGCATGACACATTTGCGTGAATCTTTTCGTCACGTGAACCGATCTTCACTGTCTTTGGAATGGAATCAATACACATAATAATCCTCACATCTGAACAAAGTCAAAAAAACCTTGAATACGGATTTTACATCTCAAAATTCGTTATTAAATTGTTGAGGTGATTCCCATAATTTCTCCTCCTACAACATAGGGAGTAAAAGTCTACCACTCGTATCTCGTTTTACAAAGATGACAATAGTATAGTTTTAGGACTAGGATTATTATATTTTTATTGTCTAGGCCCGTATAGTAATACAATTTGGACAATCTGTAATAACAAATTGAGATTAATGTGCACACAAAAAATCACTCGAGAATAAGAAAAGTTGTTTACGTCCCAAAACGAAAAAAATCATAATTCACATAGTAGTATGTTTATATTTTCCAAACACGAAATCGAATTTTACTATTGTAACTTTACAGGATACAAATACACACATTTTACTGCAGGTATGTGTACCCTTGAGTATTGCAGACTGGAGTCAAAATCGTAAGAGACGATTTTTCTTTAATTATTCAAGAAGTAGACGTGATACCATGTGGCAAACAATATTATTTTTAGATGTTGCAGTAATATGTTTCCGGTCATAAATCGCGTAACTCGTTTGCGCGAGATTCAACATACAGGAATAGAGGAATTCACATTATCATATTCAGCAATACTGGCCATAACATGTTAAACTCTTCAAGATGCTAAGACAGCGTTTAATATGGGAGAACGGAACTTCCGTAACGCTAATAAGAAAAAAGAAAGCAACATTACCCTTCTTCGCTGGGGAAAAGGACTTACTCTAAAATGAAAAATCATCATTGATAAGGAAGTATATTTTTTAATAGTGCCAAGTAATCACTGTTAACAAATTAATAAAGAAGGAAGATTAGATATTAAGTATAACGTAGGCAATTCATAGATGTAGGATAGTGACTTTTGTGATATGCTGCGTTAGGTAGTCAGTGAGTTAACGAAAGACACTCGCCTGGTAGTAGACAACATAGTACTAAGAAATACTATTTAAAATTTTGCAGCGAATTTAATAATTTAATTTTAAATCAAGAGGCTGTTGATGGCTGACGTAAAGAATGTGTATGGATATGAATAAAAAATAATGAGTATTTTGCGATCAATGGTTATTTTTGTAAACTTTGACTATCATGTTAATACACGTCTAAGGTAAGTTCTGTACACTACTAATGTCAGCACATAGCCATCAGATCTACATTTTAAATGTCTTGTATTCCTACGGCGTTCTCTATCACAGTTACTGTAATACTACGTGCTACAATTCAAGCGCTATCGCAAGACCATAAGACAATTTCATGAACTTGGATCCATATCCATTCTAAAAACAGCGAAATATTCCCCAAGAGTTCCAGCAAGTTTCGAACCACTGTGCAGTCACTCGCTGCAGCACACCTTTTCCATGCGGCATGGCGCGTGACACGTGACTCGTAACAGTTTCTTGGGCGCCGCGCGACACATTTTGCGCGAAAATTCGCCACTCGAGTCCAACGTCACGTGGCACGTGGCAAATGCAGGACGTGCGAGGGAGCGCACAGTTGCTGGAGCTGACGCACCAGACGGGAACACTAACCGGCACAGGGTTGTAAGACACACAAAAAGACGAACAAAATGTAAAGTAACGATGAGAATCTTACGTTTTCAAAGTTCACACATTTCACTAATAGGTTGCCGTCATGTGGCTTCCTTTTTACCTTCGAGATTTCCCCCGCTGCGGATGAGATGGCTATGGACGTCAACTGATGTCAATGCAGTACCTCTGACCGGGAGGTCCTGCTGTTCGAGTGGCGAGGTTGGCTGATTTTTGACACTACCTAAATATCCGCTCTCTAGAGGAGAATTCCGGCTGTCGGCTGCACTGATCGGTAGTTCTCGTGTTCGTTTTTTCGATCTCTATCGGGCGAATGCAGATGCAATACCATAACAAATGGGTCACTGCCCGCGCGCGTTCTTTCCTTCCTCTTCCTTGTTCTCCCCCCTCCTTTTCTCTCACATACCCGTACTACATTACCACATATATCGGAAGCTTAGATCTTGTCCCGGCTGCGGCGGGGACCACTGGTGGGAGATACCTGGTTGGGAGAATCCCCCGCAAACAACGTACAGACATGCGACATCTAGTTGGATATATCGCCGCTCCCTCCCGTGGTAAATCCGTGAATTACACTTACATGACTAATAACCATAGTAGTTGACGCTCCCGGAAACACGAAATAGTCAATCGTAAATGAAAGAAGGGACGATGATTCACGTCCAGGCTGGGATTCGACTCCCTATCTCCTTCGTACCTACTCTGCCAGTTCGCGCCGCCAACACCCCGGAGAGCCGGGTTGGTCGCTTTGCTCCTCGAGCAGCGCCAGCTGGGCCAAGCGGGTCGAGTACCTGCAGGCGGCGGCGCTGCACCAGCAGGTGCGACGCGTCGGGCTGGTCGCCCCACAGCTGCAGGCGCTTGGTGATCTTGAGGGGCAGCAGGCCGCACACCAGCCGGATGACGCCCAGCAGCGTGAGCACCACGATCTTGGTGACGAGCAGGTCCATGGCGGCGGCGGCGGCGGCACGGTGGAGGCGGCGGGACGGCGCTCGTCTGCTGCAGCGGCGGCCGGCGTGCCGCAAAGCATGCCGCTGCCGCGGGACTGACTGCTGAGCGTGCAGCGCGGGCCGCCGTCGCCGCCGCCGCCGCCGCCGCCGCCGCCGGCGCGTCCCCGTTACCCGGGCGTCACGTGACCGGCGGAGGAGGCGGCGGCGGCGGCGGCGGCGGCGGAGGCGGAGGCGGCGGCGGCGGAGCTGGAGGCGGCGGAGGCGGCGGCGGCGGAGGCGGCAGTGGCGGCGCCGGCGCTAGCGCGATGCGCTCCGTGGGCGAGGCGCGGGAGTTGAACTCGAGGTGGCCGCGCGAGGGCTGCTCCCGAGTGCAGAGGCTTCGACGGAGCCGCGTGGAGCAGAGCGAGCGCGGCATCGACCGCCCCAACCCCGCCACGCCGCTCCCTGCCCCGCCCCGCCCCGCGCCGCGCCAGCAGAATTATGCGCAAACGAAGCACGGAGCGGCGGGAACGAGGCGATGAGGAGAAATCGGAACTCGAGAGCGGCTTTTTCGTAAATCTCCGCTCATTCTTTTTTTTCCGTCGCTCTCGGTCTGTCTCTTCCCCCCTCTCGCTCTTTCTGGCTCCCTCTTTTGCGACGTGTCTCTTCGTCTCCTTGTCAGTGTCGTTCAGGCTTCCATCAAGTTCCGGGTGACTGTTTCTACCTGTCTCTTCTTGCTTGCTTTCTCTCTCTCTCTCTCTCTCTCTCTCTCTCTCTCTCTTTCCATCTCTCTTCCTTGCTCCCTCTTTTGCTGTCGCGTGTCTTCGTCTTCTTCTCAATGCCGTTCACCCATGGCTCAACTGCAGGGTGACATTTTTTTATCTATCTCTTCTTTCTTTATCTTGATCTTTCTTGCTATCTTTGGGTTGATGTTTGCTTCTCCCTTGTCTTTACTGTCTCGTTCTTGATTTTTCTCTATGTTGATGTTTTACCTTCCTAACTCATTCTCTTATATGGCCTCTTTCCTTTACAGCCTAATTTCACCTTTATTTTCCCCATTCGCTCTCTCTCTTTCTGTCTTTCTTTCTTTTCTCTCTCTCTCTCTTTCACTTCTCTCTTATTTATCTGTCTCCTCTCTCTTCACCGTCCAACAAATTTTGTTTCTTCTGTACACCTAAAACATCCACCCACTCCCTTCGCTCTCTTTTTTACCTTAACACACCCATACGTAATTAGAACACGTAGGCTATCGAAACTAACTTCCACATGTAATCAAATTACCGTAACACCAAGTTGCCGCAAAACACTACGATGTAATGTACGGTCGAGAACCTTAACCTCTCCCTGCACTCTTGGCTCTGGGATAGGGAGAAATGTCGGTCGAATCGTTTGACAGACTGGAAACTCTCACGCAATACGACAAGCAGTTGTCTCACAATTTCCCTAGACGGCGCAAGGAAATGTGGACGGAGTTGAGAACGGGCCAGACTGCGAAAACGCTCTTTCAACATTCTGGTAGATCATGAAATGGTTTAAAACTTCAAGAAATTCGTGAAAGATATATCATCTAGACAGTTGTCAAATCCGTGGAAATTAATCGAATTTACTAAATGCAAAGAAGGGGAAATCGTTGTTCATGAATAAATGGCTAACGAAAATACATGAAAAAATCACTTTAATGTGCTCAGTGTTTAAAACCATTACTACGAAAAAATACAATAAACATTATGGTTACATGAACAATAATTATATTAATCATAGTGAAAAAATTTAACTTGTCGAAACATTTCTGCATTAGCGTCTCTGACAATTATATTTAATACAGACAGCAGTCTCATATCTTGTTTTACAACTTCCCATATTTCATTATTAAATGCAGACGCGCAACATGCTTTCCGGTAAAAAAAGCCGCAGAAACGTAATGAAATAAAAATATACTTACGATCTCAGTTAAATAGATACAGTTTTTGCCAATTTTTTTTATTTTATTTCCCCGTTTAGGGTTCACATTAGCCTGGAAGTTTAAGTATGCTAAAGTTTATAGCATGTTTACCTATGGGTAAGAATATGTGTTGGTTGAGAACTAGAAAAGAAACATGCGAATAAATGGAATTTGAATATATACGAAAACCAACTTCATTCAAATCTGCGGTAGACAGTGACAACGTTTTTGAAGGAACCTCAGATTTTCAGACGCTCAATGCTCAATGCTTATTTTGTATATTTGTGTAAGTATCGGGAGTACATTTCCAGCTAAAACACTTACTGGATACTATTGAAACGCTGTTAAAACTCGGTTTGAAAAATTGAGCTGAAGAATTTAATAAAAACTAGATGAATTTTTCAGAACTCATAAAGCTGCTAACAATTATATTTGTAGATTTTAACCTCGCAATCTTCGTATTAAATTAAAAAAATGATTGTTTATCCGAACAGCCCACTTATTATCTGGTCAGAAAATATAATTTTTTGAAAATTAAAATGTTATGGCATGCCGGTTCACTTCATGACCTTTTATTAGATGATGTTAATTTGTTTCGTGAGATTAAAGTATTCAGTAAAATTGAAACTTGACGAATCGTGACAAGCAAATCAATTAAATCGACATAGTCGGATATACTAAAAACACGTGTACTAAGATGATCATTCACGTAAACTAAAAATATCATTAAATGTGGAATATGAGGGAAGGAAAGGCTCTGATATTGACGCCTGGAAGGGCGGCAACGCTGCACTTGGGGTCGGGTAAGAAAATATTTTAGTGATTCGCATGTGGCTAGGAATCCCAACAAATTTAAATTTTCTCTGGTCATGTAATACAAAAATGTTCCCACAGAGAAATAATTAATTATATACTACATCAGAGACTAATGATTAAATCTGCAGACTCTGAGAGCGTAAGTGAAAACGTTTACCGGCGGTAGAAAAAAATAGTTGATTTAAATAAAAATACAATTCTGCACTCATTTTGGCCATTTCTGTAAACTACTTCCATTAATTAAAACCGAATTAAAGGGATATAATAACGGATATAGCAAATATCTCACATACTACACACCCATACGTATTAACCTTTCAGTACCTATTACTCTGTCCCCTGTATCAAGAAAACTACCTCACATGAAAACACTATGCGCTATGTTTCTATTCGAAGTAGATAAAAATGAAATTACGAGTTAAGAAGATAAACATATATGTACGTATACAATGTTCGTATGTGTGCTTTTGAACGCAGAAACTAGTTTACTGATTTTGCTGAAGTTTTCATTTTGTTCTTAGTGTAAGAAGTGTTTAAAGAGAATTGGTGGTTGTCTCACTATTGTTTTTACAGAGTTAATTGAATTGATTTATTAACATTTCGATTGCTGTTTGATTTGGATTTTTCTTTTGAATATCGATATAATAAGTAAAATTAATACAAATTCATACAACGATGTAATACATTTCATTAAATGTATTTTATTCACATGTTCCAAATGTTTACACGCTAAAAGATATTGCATGGTGGCACATAATTGCACTAAATTGGGAAATCTGAGGAAGCAGCAGTACATAAATCATAAATTATCTTATCGCTTCCTTGACTGCAGATCCAGTCACTAATAGCTGAGAATAACGTCTTTAGGAGCTAAATTTTGGTTCATGATTGAAGTGCATGCGCAAAATGTGATTAATTATAAAACTTGTATATTAGTTAGTTAAGTATAGTTGTTTATTAGTAAAATTAATTTTTCCATAACCGATTGTAACAGACACATATTATATATATTATATATTATATACTGTACATTTATATCGATGGAAAACTAAACAGTCTTTGGCCATGCGAGATACTATGTCAATGGTGCCGTGAGGTACTTAAATGACAGGGAAAATACAGAAACAATGAAACGGTTTCGATTTTGACTAAAAAATAAAAATAGTTGATTACGTTAATCTGCGATTTTTCCCACCTGATATTTCGTCTATTTTCACATTCTCAGTGCGTAACTCCTTAAGCCACAGCTGACGGTTATTTTTACTATTTAAAAGAAACCACCGTCACAATTACTTTTATGCGAACCACTGCTGAATAGGTTGCTTCTTAGACTTTCTTCCAATATTTAAGGTGAAAGGAATTGAATTTTGCATATATCGGGTGACCTGGATGGCCGAAGTGGCTAAGATCTTGCACCTACGCAGAGCCTTGGTCCGAAGGGTTGCGAGTTCCCTTCCCGTCTTGGAAATGGTTATTTGTTCCTTGTCGGTCATGGATGCGGTGTCGCGGAAAACCTCGCATTCTGTTGTCGCATCCCAGATAAGAGGAGCCTGGAAGTGTATAGTTGAATATGCGTTCCAACGACACGTAAAGAGTAACCGGTTGTCGGCTGGATAAAAGCCCTAGGAAAAAAATGCAACACACATTGTAATCGTGCATAGCTCGGAAATGAAGCGTCCAGGGTCCTTTAAAACCAGGTTTTTGTGTCCTGAACGAGTTTTGTTGGGACAGGTGAGTTCAGTGGAAATATTAGTTTTATTTGAGAGGTATGACATGTGGGTTTAATTTTCTATTACATTTTTTGAGATTTAGTTTCTTTGCATGCTCGCCCATGTGCAGAAATCTGAAATCTATGCGCAATTGATTTTAAAAAAATTATTCAGAAACATTTTTTCACGATATAGCTATAGTGTCTTTCTGATTTCATCTCGATTTTAACTTACGCTAAGCAATATTAGAAAGGTTACTTTCGCACAGTACCAGGCCTATAATACTTATTAGGGGCTGGATGTTAAAGGTTGAGTTCTAATATGTAATTTTAAATTTTAAAAGAATTATTTACGAAATGCAAAATTTTCGTACGTATTTTATAACATTTAAGGCATTGTAGTCGAGTTTTTTCGACGGTGAGAATACAAATACTCTTGCATACCTGCATTTATTTTCAAGTAAGCCATATACTACATCTGGTAGTTTTGCCAAGAACGGTGGATACATATTCATTTCAATATTTTCACGCATTACTTGAATCTACAAATGTGTAGTTTCTT